AAGTTAAATTAAGAAACACGAAACCAATAAAAAAAATGCGTAATTTCTATATCTATCTCCTATCTTCCTATCTCTCTTTCCCAGATCGGCGTGTCCTCTATAAAAGATATCCGAGCTCTCGGATGATGGATGCTGCGCTGTTATCGGAAACGATATTTAATTTCGATCGTTAAAAAATTCCGCTAGATTCTATGATTCGTCTTCAACTTATATATCCCAAGTTGTACGATCTATTGTTTATCGGCTTATAGTCGTTAATAAAACTTGGTTGGTTCCGTTTCGCGTGTACTCTCGTTTCGCAATATAATAATATAAGTATCTCTCTCTCTCTCTCTCTCTCCCTCCCTCGTCCTCCCTTATTATTCTCTCTTCTTCTCTTTTTCTTCTTTTTTTTTCTTCGCAATAATAACCGCTCGCAAGATAACACGCACTACTACGTTTGTCAAATACATCTAACTTTATATTTACGGTAGTAATAATAATAATAATAAAAATAAAAATAAAAATAATAATAATAATAATAAAAATAATAATAATAATAACAACAACAATAATAATGACAATAATAATAATAATAATAATAATAATAATAATAATAATAATCTCATAAATAATACACGTAGGCGGTATAATATGTTATTACGCACGGTCTGTCAGGTCGGCGAACTCGAATAGGACAGGAATTAGGATGAAATTCGAGTGGATCCTCGAAACGTACGTGGATCCGCGCTCCTGACACCGAGTTCACATTAATTATATTACGTTATTATCATACGTAAGTACACGTAATATCTAGGAATAGTACGGATCTTAATCTGTTTTTTAGGCCTCTACTCGACTACTCTACGCTCCTCCTCGTTCCGTATTTTTTTCTTTTTCTTTTTTTTTTTTTTTTTTTTCTTTTTTTCTTCTTCTCTTTGGTCGTGTCACATTTGTCCCTTATCTTCCCACCATGTGCGCCATGTTCCTGTGAACATTCGTGTTCAACAAAATGGGGGAAAGGGAGGAAGGCGAGAAATCTGGATTACAAAATGGCTCTTTCGTCACGGAGGAAAGGGAAGAAATTGGACGATGAAATCGTCCCAATTTCGTTCTTCGGTTTTCTCGTTTTCTCGGCTATACATTTCCTTCTCCGATCGCTTAAGTATACTTGGGTTCTTCGGGGATCGGTTGGCGATCGTTTCCCAGAAACAACGAGTATCGTAGCTTTGATTAATTCGAGAGCGAGATCGTTCCTTTTCCTTCGTGGCGCTTTTAACTCGGAGAAAAAAGGAGTGGGGGGGGGGAGGGAGGGGGAAGAAGGAAGGAAGGAAGGGAAGAAATAAAGGATAACACGTGACGATTAGATCGTTGACTAGACTTTGGTCGAAGTAAAGAAAAAAAAAAATTGTTACTACGAATGGGGGAAGATGGAAGAGGATCGAGAAACAAAAAAAAAAAAAATTCCCTATCTTCAGTAGACCAGCTTCCTGAAGCAACAACGTGTTATAAATTCGACGTGTATCGCAAGTCGAGAAGTGGATTTCCATCGTTTCATCCAAAGTTAATCCAATAATAAATTGTCCTTTGAAAGGTAAACGCAACAACCGCGGCCGATCGTCGTGATCCTCTTCTTATCTTTTCCTCGACTAGACCGGTGACTAGATTGGATTCTCCTCGTCGACCCAATCGCCCCTTTCCCGTTCTGGCAGTAGTAGCAGTTAGTTATAGTAATAGTAACAGTATAGTAATAGTAAGTGCGATAAGACGACGCGGAACGGGAATAAAAGAAATCGATCCGTTCCGATCGCCGATCTCGTGGTACAAAATCATCATCACGACGGTGGCGAAGTAGATTAACTCTGACGGGCGCGAAAACTTTCGTTCGTTTCGTTCGCGGAGACGAAAAACCGTCGCAAGAAAAGTACGATAAATCGGCCTCGGGAAGAAAGTTTTCAACGAGGGGAAGTCTTAACGACGTTTCTCCTCTCGAGGAGAGGAAATTTTCTCCCTTCATAAATACGCATTAACGCGTTTCCGAGGCCGCGTTCGAAAAAAAAGTTCGGGTCGTCGCGACATAAAGCGCCCCGCCAAAGTTAATCTCTCCTTTCCCGAGAAGGAAAAACGAGAAAGTTGGCGCGTATCAAAGTTGGATACTTCTCCTCCTCGCGTTACGTCCTCGAAACATCGAAGGGAATAGGGTCCTCGGTGGAGTCGACGATGGAACGGCTGATGTTTGCTCGAGATTCACGGGCGACGTCGCTTATTAATAATAATACATTTACATGATAATAATAATAATAATAATAATAATAATATATATATATATATATCTCTATAGTTTGTTCGTCTCGGCGAAATCGGTTTGCCGGCGAAAGGCATCATTGTGCGTGTGCCACGACGACCACGATGCCTCGATCGATGTCGTCGTCTCTCTCGGCTTTCGTTGGCTCACTTCGCAACTCCTCCATTTAGTTACGTCCCGATGGTTGACGCGCCGCCGCGGGGCGGCGGTCGTCGGATGTTCTCAGAGCCATCCCCCGGACACGTCGTGGCCGGATATCGGCTCGATGCCCGGAAGCCGTTGCAGCTGACTCGCCGACCCGTTCCTCTTCATGGTCGCCGGCAGGGAGGTGCTCGCGGCCACGCTCTCCTCGGTGGTCGATGGTGTCAGCGGTGCAGCCGGAACCACTTGGCAAACACAAACAAACCAGACCCTCTACACACCCTCTTCTCTCTTGCCACGACAACTCGCTTGCAAATAAACGTCGCCCGAACAATCCTCGGATTGGATTTGTCGTTCGCGAGGCGAGTTAGCGTCGAGATTTAAACGACTTACCGGGTTGCTCGTTAGCGCTGGCCCCCTCGGGGGTGTCGATGCTGGGCTGCTGGCTCTGCGTGCCCTCGTGCCGCCTCGGCGGGATCGGCTGTTGGCCCAGCTCCGGCCCCCTGGTCGGCACGCTGCTCGCCCTCTGCAGCTGCTGCTTCTTCGACACCTTGGAGACGAGGGCCGTGGCCAACGGGTATATAGGATTGGTGCCGCTTCCGCTCCTCATGCCCGAGGTCGAGGACCTCGAATCCGAGAACGTTTTCCGCTTCTTTCGAAGCGCGACCAACGCGCCTAGGCCGTGAGGGAACACGTGGTGCCCCTCGTGATGATGATGCGAGTGGTGAGAGTGGTGGAGATGGTGCGTCGTCGGTTGGCCCCCCTCGTTCCCCCCAGTTTCCAGCGACGATTTCGAATCGGTCGATCCCTCGGATCTGGAGCCCCCGTCCTCGGACGCGGGCGAGTACACGGAATCCTCGGAGCGAGATCTGCCTGAAGAATGACGGGGAGGGAGAGGAGGGGAGGGGAGGGGGGGGAGGCCTCTTAGTTAGACTCGACGGAATCGGAGATTTGCTCGATCGAGTGATCTTATTTACCGATCAGCCTGGAAACCTTGCCGCGAACTTTCGCCGCCTCGATCAGATGCTCCCATCTCTTCTTCTTCGAGCTCCCCCTTATTCTACGGCTCTGCCTGCTCGTCCCGAGGCCGGGCACGCTGTTCGTGCTCGTGTGATGGGGGCTCTTCTTGGGCGTGGTCCCTGGGCCGAATATACCGCTCAACGTCGAGCCGAACAGCTCGTGCGAGTTCTCCTGTTGCGCTTGCTGCAACGACGTCGCGAACTCGTCGACCGGGGGCAGGGACCCGCTTCCGCTCGGTTGAGGGGCGATGTTGAAACCCTTCATCAGCCGCCGCTCCTTCTGACGATTCTTCTTACCCCCCGCACCTATGGACAGCTCTTTAAGGCTACCGTCTATGGGGCAGAGAGAAAAACCAAGGAGGCTACTCTAAAGCAGGCTACCACTAAAGAGAAACAACAACGAGAAAACAAAAAAAAAAAAAAAAGAGAAAAACGAAAGAACTCGATCCTCGATAATCGAGAAGAAGCGCGATCGCATTCGGTTGCCCAAGTTCTCGCGTTGGTAACGAGGAAGGCAACCAACTACGAAACAATATTCGAACGATCCTTGATCGCATTAATTATTCCACCACCGGAGTTCGCCGAATGATTAATAGCGTTCCGGTGGTAACGAACTTGCGAACTTTCATTTACGAGGGATGAAACTCCCTCCCACTCTTCTTAACGTCGTCACGACGCGAGCATCTCACCTTGAAATAAAATCTCGACTCTATGCATTTACGAACGAGCAAAATTCGCAAGGAATTGAATTCGCAGTAGGTGGAGGAATAGGAATAGGATAGGAAGAGAAGAAAGAATCGTAGGGGAGAGATTTCACGGTGGAAACGCGAGTTACTCACCGGTTCCTGTGCCGCTGGCTGTCGAGGTGTTCATCCCGGAATTCTTCAAGATCTCGATCAATTCGCAACGAAGCGCGCTGATGTCTTGTTTGATCTCGTTCACGTCGTCCTCCGTCACCCCCTCGCTTTCCGCCTTCCTCTGCTCCACCGTCACGTACCTCCTCACCAAATTTCTCATGATACTCTGATACCTGAAGTCCCTCTCAGACGCCTGCTTCACCTTCCTCTGTCCAAACCGGGAAATTAAACGAAGAGAATTACTGGAAGCTGGCCGAAACAAAAATCGCTCGGATCGGAATCAAATCTCACTCTGATCGTCCTCATGTGCTCTTTCTTGGCCGCTCTGCTGTGCCCGCACAGTTTCCTGTACAGCCATTGCCCCATGTACCAAACGCTCTTCGGGGTCGGGATGATGTTAAAAGGGGGCGGGACCGTGCCACCCTCCTCGAAGTAGCTGATCCAAAGCTTGCTCCTGGCGAACTTCCACTCGATGTCGGCGCGTTCCTGATTCGAAGAAGGAAAGGAGATTGGCGCGATCGGGTGTATATAACAACAACACTGATAACACTCACGGAGATCAATTGATAGGAATGATTCATCATGGCGATCAGTAGATTCAGTAAAACGACGATGTTGATCACCGAGTATGTGCCGAACATCAGCATACCCCAGAACCTGGTGAACGCTTTGATACCGTCCAGTTCGAAGCTCTCGAGATCGACCAGGCCGAAAACGGCCCAGAACAGTGTCTGCGTGGTTTCGAACAAGCTGGTTTCGAACAATGAAAACCGGTTTAATTTTTATTACAAGTAAATATTCGTCACTGCTAATATTTTGTTTTTTTTCGGATCATTTTTCAATTTTTCAAAACGTTTCTCGAATGAGAAAATACATCGCAAGCATTTCGATATCGAAGGAAAAATTCACGAAGTACTTTGAACGTACTTTGCAAATCGGCGCCAAACGATGCAAGCGTTCGAATCGGTGGTCACATTGGCGTTAGGGGCGTACGACATCGCGGTCGGGCACCTCTTCTTCTCCATATCCGCGTAATACCACAACAACTGGTTCAGACCTGGGCGAAAGGAGCGTCACTTTCTTTCGTGGGATTTTATTTTTCCTTTTTTTCAAACGAATTTTGAAATTAAAAAAAAAAAAGAAAAGCAAAGATTTACCGCACGAGAACGCGAACAGCACCAGCACGTAGAGGAAGAAGAACTTCATGATGTCCATCACCATTCTGGACAGGGAGACTTGCAGGGGGCCGAGATGAGGATTTACCGAGAAAATGTAGACGAGTTTCAGGGAGCTGGAAGAATAGATCGATAGTAGTCGTTTGATCGCGCGCGTGCGAAAGGGGAATTTATTGAAATTTATGTCGAGAGAGCGATCCCATAATCGCATCTCGCGGATTTTTCACGAGGCAAAGGACGCCTCTGAAAGCGCTTCGCGTTCCTTTTTCTTTTTTTTTTTTTTTACACCTTTTTGCAAAATTAACGGGGAAAAAAAGGGATTTCGAAGCGAGGGGAGAGAAAGACCTGAATATGTTGGCGGCGGAGAAAAGCCCCTCGGATATGAGCATTGGATCCCACGTGTCCCACTGTTCGCGTTGAAGCTCGATCTCTGATCCCGATCTCTCGATCTCCCACTTCACCCTGTAGTAGGCGACCACCCTGAGAGCGGCGGTGGCCACGTACAAGGAGTTGGTCACGAAATCGATCACGTTCCACATGTCGTTCACGTACTCCTCGAGGCCGACGTCCCACAACTGCTTCACCTCGGACCAGATCAGGCCCGATACCCACGCCAGGATGAACCTGCGAAACGAGTTAAATTCGAAAAAAAGAAAACTCACGAGTTAATCGTGAATTTATCCCCCGATTCTCGACAAATCGGCCGCCCCCGGGGAAATATAGTCCAAGTTATATAGGAAAGTGGTGTTACGTGGTGCAACGTATTATGTATACACCCTTCGTGGAAGGGAAATTCGCCTCGAGACGTGGTGTCGTCGAAGAAGCTCTAGGCTACACGATATTTATTTTCGAGAGAAGCGTTTCTCGAAAGAGAGAAAGAGAGAGAGAGAGGTTTTATTCGGTTGAGGAACTCGGTGGATTTTAACTGGAAGCGAAATGTCGTCGAATGGATTGCATTAGGGAAACGTTTCTTGGGAAAAATAACATCCCTTTCTTCCAACCCTTTTACTCGAGAGCGGAAGGACGAGGGTGGTTTAAAAATATCCTCTTACCATTCGATGATGGTAGGCGCGGCTCCCCTTTTCGTCGGCACTGGCTCCTGCTCCACCACATCCCGGCCCATCCAATTCCCAATCACGCTCTCTATCCTCTGACTGGCCAGAATCAACATGACTGCGGATAAACGTTGTTACCTTTCGTATTATTATTTTTCCAACGATTCTCAATATAGTCGTCGTCGCGATGATAAACAGATGTACGGCGAGATCACGTTCAAAAAATAAAACAGTGGTTGTGGCGACGGATTTAGATTCAAATTTGCTCGACCGGAAGAGCGTTTCGTAATAGGATAGGATCCGTATATAGAATCAACTCGCCTTCGGTTCCTGAATAATCGTCGCTAAAGTTCCTTCTCGAAAATGCTCGAGAAGGGAGCACGTTATCCGTTAGCAGCGACTCGAAATATCGTTAGTCTAACTTCGAGGTCGATTTATGCCTTTCGCGATTATGCACGAGGAAACCTTGCCGCTCTCTGCACCACCGCTTCTTATTATTCTCGACCCTTCTTTCCCGGATATTATATATACGAGCCAAGTTTCCTATTCTGAAAAAAGAAAAAAAAAAAAAAAAAAAAAAAGGGAAAAAGTACAAATTCGAACACGGTTAGAAACGATAGGTTCACGGTTTAACGCGGTAACAGTTTCGGTAGGAAGGAATTTGGACGGTATAATCCGACGGAAATTTCAGGGTGTTCGCGAACGAATCGGTCGATGCCTCAAATTTAGACCATTACCGCACTCTGCTATTATTGGTAGTATTTCGCGGGAGGTATTTGTAAACCGTTTAGAAGCCGGTGTTCGACTCGCTCACGCGGCGAAAGGTAAAACACCGCGAAAGAAACGAGGTCGGACGAGGCGCGTACCCTTCGGGTCGTTTTGAAGGCGAAAAAGGGAAGGCGATGTAATTTTAGAAAGCAGAGAAGCGACGGAGGATGACGAGAATAAGAGGAGTCGACACGTAAAAAGAAGAAAGAAGAAGAAGAAGAAGAAATACTCACAGAGGAAGGTGAAGTAAGAGGCCGAGTGACAGATGAACTTGATGAACGGTTTCCTCATGGTCTGGCCGACCACGTAGTGGGGAGCGATGATGTACGCGACGCTGAAGAAAGGAAATAGAACGCCGATCTTGACGATCTCCAACGCCTGGAGGACCATGTTTTTCCTACGGAAACCCGGAAGACCCTCGTACCAGATCGATGCGAGTAACTGCTGCACGTTAGGATGCGCCACGAACTGGAAATTTCCAGGTAATCCGATATTGGTAGACGGTTTCCGGCCATGTCGCCGCCAAATTCTACTTATTACGCTCTAATTTCGGAATCGGGATCCCTCCGAGGCCTAAACCAGAGATTATATCGATACGACCTCGTCCGTCGATCGATTCGATCTCGTTCCCCCCCCCCCATTTCCGTGTACGAGTCGTCGCACGTTTGCCTACCCACGGCCATCTTCTTTTCGAAAGAACGTGGAAAGTGTTTTTTTTTTTTTTTTTCTTCAGACGAGAATTTACCTTCTTCTGTCGAAGCTTGATGGCCAGCTTGAGCCGGTTCAGATGCATCCTCTCGCCGTGCTCGAACGCCGGCCCGGTCGGGTCGTGGTTCAACAGCACCTCCAACTCGTACGAACTTCTCGTGTGATCCAACAACGCGGTGGCGAAGTCCTGGCATTGTCTTCTGAGCTCCTGGAATCGGGACGTTTCGCCAATTTTTTTTTCTCACACCAACTTTCTCTCCGCGGCCGGTTTCAAACAAAATTCGAAAGAAAGAACTCGAGGGAAGGGATTGCTCCTCCCTCTTTCCACCCGACGAACTTTCCTCCTACTAGGCGGATGCTCTCTCGACCGTAAACTGCGACATCCTCGTCGCGAAAACTTGCCACTTCTCTCGTCCAACGAATTCTTTGCCTCGAAGAAATTTCTCTTCGAAATACGAATACGAGTGGATCGTTGGGAAAAAAAGTTATCGAATCGTTGTATCGAATCGTTCTCAGGGATGGTGCGCGTTCGAAGATTGACGGTTTCGGTCAGTTGAGAGAGAGAGAGAGAGAGAGAGAGGCGTATACGAATAAGAGGGATAAAAAGATTGGGATGGCAGGGCGGGGTCGTTTGTCAATCGAGTTGTCGAGGGACAATCGGTTCGAGACGTTGGAAAAAAACGCGGAGTAATCTCGTGGAAACTTTATCCCCGCGGAGGAAGGGGAGGGCGATAATTTATCTCTCTTGAACGTTCGCCGATCGCCTGGAAGATTTAAACGATCATCTCCGCCAATTTGTTCGCCGATGTTATTGCGTTTCAATCGATAAAGGAGAAACGGAGCGTTCGCGTTTAATCCCTTGATTATAAAAGAAAAAGGAAAAAGAGAGAGAGAGGAGGGGGAAAAAAACATGGAAACCGTTGAACTCTGAAGGAGAACTCTGAAGCGATTCGACTATTTCGAATATAAGGGGAAACAAGGGTAAAGGAAACGTAGTTTCGAGGATCTTCGGATGGAATATTCCCTCTTTTCGTTTCAATTTCGAGGAAGAAAAGTTAAGATTGGCACCGCCAACTTCGTTCGATACGATAAAAGAAAAAAAAAAAAAAAGAAGAAAAAGGTCGAGAGGTGACGGAAAGAGGAGACGTACGAACGAGGGTATATTTATAATATTTCATCCACGGTTAATCGATCTTTCCTCGAGAGTTGATCAATTTCCCATTTATCCGATCTATCTTCCATTGTCGAGGATCTTTCGAGGTAGAAGACGCGTCGATACCAACTCGTTCCTGCTCGTTCGTTATCCATATACCAAGAATTTCCATTGCCTCGAGAAGGAGTGACGTATCTTTTTTTTTTCTTCGAAAAACGGATAGGAATTTCGCACATTCCTGCATTCGTCCGTCCGGAGTTACGCGCCAACCCAAACATTTACGACATCAAAGCGCCATACCGGACTGTGCAAACGTTCGCCAATATCGGCGAGTGGGGGCAGCGTACTTTGCTAACGAGACATTAATAACCAACGTTTCGATTCGACCGTGAAATTTTCATCGAGTCGCAGACTTTACCGATCGTTATTTCGTTCTCGAGAGAGAGAGACAGAGGGAAGATACGTTTCGAGGCCTTCGCGAATCGTGGAATTAGCACGTGTGCTCGAGTTGTTTAGACGAATTAACAACGAGCCCGTTTACAAGCCGAGAAAAACGATGCTTTGAGTCAACAAAGATGAAACAAGCACAGACTGCATCGTGTCCGATTTCTTTCGCGCTTAATCGACACGTGTCGTCCTTCGATATTTGCATTCTGAAGAAAACCGGCGACCACCGCTAAGAAGATACGCGTCTTGCTTCGTATAATTTGGGATTTGTATAATTTGTGCGCAAATTTCGCATCTTCTCCATTTTCTCTCGGTTATTATTCACAACCTTTGATTTCTTTTTAAATCGAATTAATTTTTCGATGTATAGCTCGTTCCATTCCATGTACAAACACAATATTAACCGGTATATAAAAATTATATAACTTCAATTTCCGTTTAATACCTTTGCCATATAAAGAGTAACGAGTTATATTAATACGACGAGTATTAAAAAAAGGTACGCGATTCAAAACTGGTCCTCATCGCGATCTTCACAAAAGGACGTAACAATACCCTCTTTGATCCCATCCAAATTTTATCCGAAATATTTTTCGCCACGAGAAACACCACGAGACACCCTGTGTACAATTTATACATTCACCTGATTCGCATTATATCGATTTATTTTACGAATCCGCGCGAATTCCATGTATCTGCGAATTTTCCATTCCCAGGGTCTGGAATATCTCCGCGGGGCAAAGGTATCTTTGCCGCGCGAACAAACGGAATAAATGACAGGAATAATATACCGCGGGGCCGGAGAAAGGCTCATACGTTTCAATCTACGTGTCGAGGAAACACGATACACGCGTACGGCATTCTCTCCACGCGTTCACCCGATTTTTCCCAAAACCTTTTCGCAACATTTTCGCGAATCTTTCCTTTCCTTTCCTTTCCTCTTTCTTTTTTTCGTCATCAAGGTGGTTGGTTCGTCAACGAACGAGGATAGATACGCCGTGGTGAATTCGGTCGGAAGAAGTAATTGAACGAGGAGGAAAGTGGGCCAAAAGGGTTGAGAAGCGGGCAAACTCCAAAGTTCAACGATTGTTTTATGTAATCTTCCCGTTGTGGCCTCCCGCGGTGTGGAGGGATGGTTAAATTGAACTGTTGGACTCTATTTTCCGAGCGTAATCGGGATCTTTAAAAGGGGCAAATGAAATTCAAGATATGGTAATTAGACGGAGGACGAAATAACATCGGCTCCTTGTTACCTTAAGACGAAATTATTATTTCGAAATAGCGAGACTCGTTTTCGTCTCCGTTATTACATCGCAACTGTTTAATTTAAACTTGTCGCATCGTTTTATCAATGCAGAATTAATGCGGAAAAGGCCCTTTCTACAATTAAATCTTCGCGTCACTCGAATAATCGAAAGGATAAATTCTCGTCTCACCTGGTATTCGCATTTGAACTCGTGCTCGAGGAACGAGAGGCGGCGGAGCTCCCACGAGAGTTCGAACGCCGTCAGGATTGGGTCCTTGGAGGAAAGAGCGATCAAGGACGGCGAGGCTAAGGCTCTGTACGCGTTTATTCGGCTCCTGGAATGCCTCAGGGAATCCTCCCTCCTCGATGTCACGCACTCGTCGCACCTGTTATTATTGCGTGAACGAGAAAGAAATCAGCAACCTCTCCGCCCTGTTCCTCGAATTTACGAAGCGAAGGTTGAACGAAAGAGAAAGCGGATACACAAGCGATAAATATTTATAAACGATTTTGGGTGAAATTTCAGCCGGTCGGCGAAATTAGGCGAAGGAATTTGAAGAGGTTGAACGGTTTAATTTAATTGGCATCGGGCCTCGAGCAAAGATCGCGAGGAAATTAATCAAAACTGCTGTGCACGTGTAACGCGTCTTCTCACGCCCACGTTCGGATTTATTTACGAATAAAATTTCATCGAGCGTGGATGAAAGGAAGATCCGTTTATTTGATAATCGCTCACCCGCAACGAACGTCGTGAGGCATGGGCAACGTGGATCCGCGATCCAGAAGAATCTTGATGATCTCGTAATTGTCTCTGTGCGCGGCTAGGATCAGGGGCGTGATGTCTGGCGTGAATGTGGCTGTATCGGATGGCAGGGCTTCCCAACTCTGAAACAGAGACGCGTAAAACATGTTTCGCTTCGTTGCGGGATCCCACTTGTTCCTAGACCAGAAGAAAATTATCGCTCGCTAATTAAATAATAATTTTTCCTGTCACTAAAGATTTTTCGTACTAAAAAAATTTTTCTCGGGAGGAGAGAAAATGTGTATTCTCGATAATAATTCGAATTTTGGCGGAAAAAGGGGGCACGATAATTATTCCAGCTGCGCCGGGTAAGCCGATTTCTCTTTCTCCGGAAAGAGGGATAAAAGCCGATTAAACTCCCTCTCGTCTACATTTCCTTTTTTCTCTCCCTCTCTCTCTTTCTTTTCGCCATTCCGAATTCAACCGGTTTTATCGTGCGCAATCGTGGCTTTGAAATAACGAAAATAGGATCGATGGTCAGCTGGCTTTCCAGTCGAGAGACACCGCGAGCGAGCACAGAATCGAAAAATATACTCTTCCGTTGTATCCGATTAAAATGTGGGTCGACCTATTTGTCGGTCGAATCTACTTAACCATCCTCGTCGTTCGATCGTCCCGAGTCGTCGCGGCTCGAAAATTAGAAAGAAGGGGAATTTCGATAACTGAAACGAAATTACCTAGGCGGAAAAATGCAATCACGTTGGTTAATTGGGAGGCGAGGTCTCCGCGCTGCGAGACTCAAAGTGTTCGCTCCGAAAGGGGTGTTCTCGAATTTACGCGAGAAAAAGAGAGAGAGAGAGAGAGAG